TATAAAATTATTTTTAATTTTTATAATTGTATTGTTAACATTTTAATTAATTAATAATTTATATATGCATTTTTTTAAATAGATATTTAAAGCTACAAAGATAAAATAATTTAATACAAAAAAGATCATCAAAATAAGTTAATTGATAAATCAACAAATAAAGTACAAAAAGTATGAAAATATTACAACTCAATCAAGTGAAATAAATTATGTAGTACGATTACTAGATAACAGTTACTCGTACTTATTTATTCGGATCATGTATGGAGTAGCTCATGCGGTTACGCAATCATATTTGAACCGAAACCAATTTGGCACGATAGAAGGCATCGGGTGCCTTTCTGCGAAAGATATTTTGACGTAATGATTAACGTTAACGTACCCAATTGTAAAAGCAACATGTTCATACCACGGCGGATGACTAAATCATATAGTTGTTAAAGAATGTAGTATCACAATGTATCTTGAAGCAATCAACAAACCTGTTTCAAAAACATCCATCCAATGCTCATGTGGTGCAAACGAGTCCAATCAAAGAAGTTCAAGGAGTTATAAAACTGATGCTATAGTTCAATGTCATACACCTTGAAATATTCTGTCTTGTACATGCTTAACTCCTCCATTAAATCATAGGCCATTCATCTTCGTGGTAACTGAGACAAACCGCTATCACTCGAAATCCACAGTTTCCATCGCCTTTTATATATTGTACCAGTGTGATGTAAAGATGAAAATTATTTAAAAACTGATTAATACATTGAGATAAAAAAAAATTAACTTGCATGAACTAAGTTACGTACCTGCACGATGTAAGGATGGAAAATACTTGGAAATTGATTGATGTATGGATGTGCATAATTTTTAAAGTCGAAGTATGAATTATATCTCGTTTGTTTATTGTTCACCAAAACATCAAACTCCACAAATGTTGACACGTCTGGACAACTATGCCTATGAGGTTCTTGAGTTGGTGTGTTGACACAACTTTTTTTTGACAACCTTACTCTTCAATGAGGGACGACCATGAGTTGATGTATGAGCAGTCGGTTCACAAATCCGAGTTGTCCAAGGCGCGATTATCTCCCTTAACTTTCTTAGAAAACTGGACTTCATAGATATGGACTGTTTTTTGAAGTTCTCAATAAACATTTGCACTTCATCATGACAACAAATATCATCATCTTCCACGGATATGCATGGTGATAAATTAAGTTTCCTCCAAAATCCGTCAATCGATTCAAGTGGAATAGATTGGCCTGAATTGAAATAATATGTCTGTTTATGTGCACATGGTAATCTGTAACATGTACACAGTTGACATCTACAGTTTCCTGAAACTAAGAAAAGATCATTCGACCACTCAAATTCTTTGAAAATTAATTCCAACACATGCAATGAAACAAAACCATGTAGCTGATGGAAGTGTATTTTGTTATATCGATGCTTGACGACATTTTTCCTATGTTGGAAGCTTGCTTTGATTGACGTATGTTGTGAGTGAATGGGTTGATGAATATCATACATAAATACCCGTAAAGTTGCTTGGTTCGAATCCAAGTATAGTTTCAACTTAGAATGTTGACTTTCAACTCTGTTAGTTGTTGATTTCCAAAGTTAAGAAATTTGTCGGTCCAAATGGATACAAACATTTGCTTATATAGTTTCAACCATATTTCGTTCAAATAATCAAGAACGCATAAAAGTTAAACAAATTTATTTCAATCAAATACATATACGTGTAGACAGATTTATTTCAATCAGATACATATAAATTGAATATTAAGTCATTTGGATCAAATAGAATAACAAAAAAAAAAAAGAAAGATAAACATTAATTCTAAATATAAAAAATAGTGAGGATAATATGCCATCTATAAAGTAGTTGTTTAGCATCGATAAATACATTATTACATGCTTTCATCAATGCCAACTCTCGATCGGTCACGATCACACGTGGGGATGCACATCCGTCCATTGTCTTTTTGAGACAATTCAATGCCCATGTATAGTTGGATTTTTTTTGTCTTTATGCATAAAAACATATGCTATGCAAAAAGTCATATTAGTTGATGTTACACCAACAATCTCAAGAAGGGGCATCTTATACCTGTTCATTTTATACGTGCCATCCATCAACAACACGTGTGGAAATGCACGCCACAACGTCAATGATGTTGAATGAATGAAAAATAAATCTTACAACTGATTAGAGTTATTTGCACGCGCCTCATGCATATAGCCTTCTTCCTGCAGAAATAACATGACAACTTGCATTTGGGTTCTACCTTCATGTTCGGTCGCCCAAAAGTTTCGACATGCATTGCATATTGTTCTGAGTGTAAACACGTTATCTGGATTTTGCTCTTTCAATGTTGATAGAATATCACGTGGTTTGACATACTTCCTTGACAAATCTTCCACCAAGCGGACTTCGTTTTTAGTCAATCGCATTGCATATGGATGACCCTCCATATCTTCTGCAGGTTCATGATTATGTTTTTCACATATCATTGTTAACGTCTAATGATCATTCTTCGACGAATATTTTCCTGCTAACTCAAATGGACAGTTCATTTTTTTAGTTCCAATATGTCTACTAGAACTACCATTACCTCTATATTTACCACCACGATTGCATATTAATATAACTTAGACATGACTCCACTTCGTTATGTTTTGGATCTTTTCGTGGCAATAATGTAACCAAGGGAACATCCCAACTTTTGCACCCAATCGATTAAATCTTGACAAGATTTGAACACCTTGTCGGTGGAAAATTTTGATGCGTGAATTGTCTTGAATTGTTTGGTTTATGTAAATATTATACTCCAAAACATATAAAAATAGAAAAAAAAAAAACTATATTTCAATGTAGTAGATGAAAACTATATGATGAAGTAGTAAATAAAAATACCTCATCATTGGAATTCCGATAAAAATGCAAATTTTCACCTTGAGTTTCTTGGTTTGTGTAAATATCATATTCCTAAACATACACATGCAAAAAACTATATTACAAACTATGTTAAAAATTAGTAAGTGAAAATATGTCACAAAATAGTAAAATGAAAATACCTCATTATTGGAATTTTGATAAAAATGCAAATCGTCACCGTAAGTTGTTTGGTTTATGTAAATATCATATTCCTAAACATACACATACATAATAAACTATATTTTCCAAACTAGGAAGTAAAAATATATCGCTAAATAGTAAGTGAAAGTACCTCAACGTTGTAAAATCGATAAAATTGAAAATCGTCTTTCCAACTAGCCATTAACAAGTTCGAAATCGTAAATGGAGAATGTTGAAATGGTTACTTGTAAATGAAAATACAAATCTCACTTCCCTTTTTATAGCAATAGTAAAATACATATCACGTTTTTCAATATTTTACTTACCTGTTTATTTATTTAAGTTAGATTTATAAATATACTGAAAATAATATAATAAATAAGAAAAGAAATAAAATGCTACTAATTTCAAATTGTTAAGTGATTATTCTTATTCTTACTTTTATTATATTTAAGTATGTCTACGTTTTTATTATATGTTGTTAAAATTAAATTTTTTAACCCTTTAATTTAACCATTTTTAGTCATGTGTGTCACAATTCAAAAAGAAAAAGAAGTCGCGCATCATCATTTTCAAAGCTGTTTACATATATCTTGACTTCTAATATTGGAGTTTGAACATACATTTTTTTGACTTTTAATATTAAAACTTGTACCCTAAACTCCACTCTAAACCTATGGGGGTGCAAATAACAAACCCCTAAAACATATACTAATGGATTGACTATTTTGAGAAAAAAAAATCTACTAATAATAATAAATACTACATTAAAACGATACTTTTAAGATTAACTTATAAGTTAACTTTGAAAAACGATACTTAAAGTAGTTTGTAAGGAGCTTTTTGTCACTTTTTCCAATTATACTGTCATTAATATTAATTATTATATATTACTTATTAATCATAAATAACTACTAATAAATATTAAGTATTAATAAAAGTAAAACTTAATT